TTTGGGAATGAGGATCACAGAGCTTGAAGAATTGACACCATTGAGGGTCAGTCTTATCTTTAGGTCTAAGGCTGCAAAGAAACCGGAAAAGCTAGTTTCCCTTCAGACACCCAGTGCAGATGAGGCACAAGGGCAAAGGCCTAGATAACAGCTCTTTGCTGTGTGAGAGATAGGAGCAAAGGATATTTACAAGTAGCTCACACATATTGACTTTGACACTTACATGGAGACATTTCAACCCCCAGTATTATTTTTACTCAAGAGTAGCAACTAATAGACACTCCTAAAACTAAAAGTTTTATATCCAATTTATATTATTCTTCCACTCTGCTTTAAAAGATTTCATTTAATACAGGGCCTTTGCAGACTGCCAGAAATAGTGCAAACTGAGTCCACTTTAACTGTCCTGGCTCAGTGCTAAGGAATCATGGGAACTGTAGTTTATTGTGGCACCAGAGCTCTCTGACAGAGAAGGCTCAATGTCCGAGAAAAAAATACAATTCCCATGATTCTCTAGCACTGAGCCAGGGCAGTTAAAGTGGACTCAATTTGCACTATTTCTGGCAGTCTGCAAAGGCCCACAGTCTCCTCCTCCTCCTCCTTTTTTGTACACTTAACAACCAATCACCAGCAGTGATATATTTATTTGTAAGCAGCATATGTAAAAAGCAGTATGTGAGATCAAAGCCCATAGAGAGATGGGCCAAGGATGAGAAACTAGGGAGAGAGACAGAAGAAAAATAAGGTTGTGGGGAGGGAGGAGACACAGCAAAAATCATCGCTTTGATCCATGCCTACACATGAACTAGTTGTGTCTGAATGAAAGGAATGAGATGCAAGTGGGTGACAGCTATGCTTGGATGTGCACCTGCCACACGCCTGCAGTTTTCAATCTAGCGATGGAGATCTTTGACGGAGGGGTTTCTATGCACACTCCTCTGGAATGAACAAAGAAATACAGAGTTGTGTTGGATTCATTCCAGTAGCATTGGTGTTTGGGAGGCATAATCCACGCATCTGTCCCTTGTGATCCTTTCACCTCTTTTTAAGGGAGAAACTATGTAGGATTTTATGGTTGTATTTTTTATCTATTAAAATATTTATATCCAAGGATCTCAAGACAATTTGATCAGTTAAGGCCAATAAGGAGCATTAATTTATTTATAAATAAATAAAGTCTGAAAATATATTTAATCATTTGTCACTTTAAAAAAAACAGACAATTTAAAATCAGTTGAAACAATTTAAAAATATTGTTGAGAATAGCACATGTATAAATTGGATAAAATCAATTAGGCCTTGCAAGCTTTAATAGAAAGCCAAGGATGGTATCCTGTTGGGAAGGTAGGTCGTCATAAATTGGCTTACAATTGCATAAAGTTGAATTGCGCTGTTGCACAATGTAGCACAATATTCATGTTCTCAGGAAGAGAGTGGAGGCATACCTATGCCATTGGGACCATAAGTGCATAAGTGGATCCAGCAGCAAGGATATTACAGTGTAATAATAATAATAAAAATTATTTGTACCCTGCCCCTCTGAGAACAATCGAGGTGTCTAACAACAATTAAAATTTCATACAATATAAATCCCCCAAAGCCCAAAAGCCACCCACTCCTTAAAAACATGTAGGACATGTTGCACAAAGGAGGCTCCCATTACGTGACAAGACATCTTGCATGGTGCTCCAAGGCATAATGGGAGCCCACGTTGTGCAATGGGACACTGTCCACACTATCTTGGTACACAACACTGCTGTTCACAAGAAGAGTTGTATGTTGTGTCAGAGATGTAGCTATGCTATTGTGAAATGACACACTGCATGTAGCCTCTGATGCAGGATCTCAGCTCCTATGTTGACTTAGGAACTCAACAGACGGCTCCTAAGGGGTGGCTCCATGCTGCCCCTGAGTGCACCGGATTGGGGCTGCAGCAACTGCATGCTGTGGCCCCAATCTGGCACTTTGCCATTCTAAAAATAGCTGACAAATGCCTCCCCTTTTTAGAGAGGCAAAAAGCCGCCCTTGTTGCTGTGGCAGCAGCTTTTTAGCACTCCCTTGGTGCAGCGTGTATGAATGCTGCTCCAAAGGAGCATGCTGACGCTGCCCGCCATCTGTTTGGGTGGGTGGCATGGGGCAAAGTTGGGGTGGCTGGTGTGCGGTCATCATGCCCCCACTCCACCCCCAGGACCAGCCCTTGTGGCCGGTCTGTACAGCCCCTTAGTGCCATAATGGCATCATTATTGGTGTCAGTTGGTCCTCTGAGAAGAAGCCATTCCATAACCAGGCTTGACTGGTACAGTGGTTTCAGTGTTGGACTACAACTCTGGAGACCAGGGTTCAATTCCCCACTCAGCCATGAAACCCACTGCAAGTCTGATGCTCTCAGTTTCAGAGGAAGCAGGAAAAGCTCTGAACAAATCTTGCCAAGAAAACCCTACATAGGTTCGCTTTAGGGTCTCCATAAGTCAGATATGACTTGAAGGCACATAACACACACACACAGAGGCTTTACAGTACAGGTTACACTAGGCATCTTCCTACTGTATATATAAGGACTTTCCAGTTAGTAAATCGGTGAACTAGCTCACTTCGCTGTTTGCTTACAATAGAAATACAGACAGACAGATACACACAAAGCTGGATCCATGATCTGTCTTCCATGGACAAAATAATGAATGCACAGAAGGTATTTCCACCTAAATGGAGTGGATCCCCCCTCTCCCCACTAACGATCAATTAATTCCCTCTCCCAGAATTCAGCAGAGGAGTTGTTGTGTGCCCTCAAGTTGTTTCTGGCTTATGACACCCTAAGGCAAAATTATCATAGAGTTTTCTTGGCAATGTTTGTTCAGAAGGCGTTTGCCTTTGCCTTCTTCTGAGGCTGAGTATGACATGCTCAAGGTCTACCAGTGGGTTTCCATGGCTGAACAGGGATTCACACTCTGGGCCCCAGAGTTGTAGTCCAGCCTTCAAATCACTACACCACTTTGGATCATCAATGAACAATGAAACTACAGGAACAAACAGCTAACCTTGTTAAGGGACATTAAAGGAACAGACAAGTCTCAAAGCTATGTAGCAAAAGTAACTAAGGGGGGGTTGCAGACTGCCAGAAATAGTGCAAATTGAGTCCACTAAAAATGGACTCAATTTGCACTATTTCTGGCATTCTGCAACCGCCCTAACATGCTTTCACTGCCTTTCTCTGTATGTATAGAGGTGTATGTGTGTACTATACTGCAGTGAGTAAAAATCAAGCTATACAACTATTATACTCTCAGAAATGAATCCAAAACACATTGAAGAGGAAACATCATCAACAGGTGACCCAACAAGTAATAAAGAGCATTCCAGTGATGTTGTTTGGACATTTTTTTCTTCAGTTTCAGTGTCTCAGTGCAATTTCAGGACTATTCTTTCAAGAAATGGTAGAGAATAATTCATGTCAAGATGTAACTTTTACCTCTCCCATTTAGCATATTAAATTTTTGCATAATCATTTAAATATAACTGAAATACTTTATATTTAAAGTCAATTTAAAGGTGGAGTTCAATTACAAAATCACTGCAAAAGGCAACGTATCTTTTGTCCACCTGGGGGCACGATACAGCACATTTCCAGCTGTCAGCCTTTCTAGTCTAAAATCGTCGACTCAGAAAAGCAGGCTGTTTCCTGCATGGTGTTATGAGGCTGATGTTCAGAATTCATCACTGTGATGCCTAGTACAAAGTGCTATTCACTGAAACTAATAATAAATATGTAGGCAGAGAAGTGGTGCTACCTATGATGTAAATGTTTAGGGTCTTCTGCTAATATTTTTCTCAGAAACAAAACAACTGAAGTCTTAGGATATTGTCCCTTGACCCTGTTTAATACCTTTAATTCCAACTTCTTCAACTTGTTGTGTTAATAAGGAAATTACCTAGACAATTAGCTTTCCATTCATTTTGTTCATAAGCTTGTTGACACTTTATGTTGGCATCACTATGCAGGTCTAGGCATTGGTGGCAAAAGAAAAACAAGACTATGGTCACAGGAAGGAAGGAAGGAAGGAAGGAAGGAAGGAAGGAAGGAAGGAAGGAAGGAAGGAAGGAAGGCATTTGAGAAAGAAGACGCTCATAGATTTCGTTTGACTTCCTTTGTCCTGGCAGCTTGGCCCCAGGAAAAAGTACAACCATTAGCAAAGACTGGGCAAACAGGATTCTGGCCTTTGTTATCAGTCCAGGCTATGATGCTGCTGTATGCCCTACACAGATGTGGGTCCTATTCTGTAGCACTGGCAACTGGAATCTCCTATGTAAGTGGGGCAGTGAATCTGCCCCAGGTTTTGATCTGAAGCCTACAGAAGCTAACCAAGATCCTTAACTTGTTTGGGGGATAGGATTCAGTGCCCTGGATGGCTCTTTTAATATTTTGGCCAAATAGTATGGATCCACTGCCTCATTGACTTGGAAGCCATGGGCCATCACTGCTCCATAGCCAATATATATGTATGTTACCCTTGGTGAGTGAAATTTGCCTATGTACTGCAGTAGTTCAAGTATTGACCTAACACTGGGGGCAGAGGGCACCAGTAATCATTCCTACTGAACACTTGCCTGGACCAAGGCCAGCCCTACCATTGAGCAGAGTGAGGCAGCTGCCTCATGTGATGGATGCTGGGACACAGCAGGAAAAGTCTTCAGGCTCCGGGCTCTTCCTCCGGCCCTTAGCCACTCTCTTTTGTTGGGTGACAGACCACCACATGCCAGGGGAACTCTATAGAGCAAGCCACTCAAACTTGGGGAATCAGGTGGTATATCCAGACTAATAGCCTTATTGCATGAGAAAACAAAGTGGAAATGGAAGCAGAGAGTAGCGGCTTTCTCCGTGCCTTGCCACATGAGGCCATACCGCTACAAGACAGTTGCAAAAGCATGTGTTTTGTCTAACTAACTGATTTTTCCTGCTAGAAAAAAAAAAAGACTCACTTGGACAACTGTTTCCCATGGGAAGAAAACTTAAGTGCTACAACATCATGCTGTAAGGCCACTACTCTCCAGCTTTGTTTCCACTTATTTTCTCATGTAACAAGGCTCCAAGTTACTCTCTCACATTCAAGTGCTATTGAAATTAGTGGGGCTTAGTGTTATTTTGCATACTGAGCTGAATGGGGCCTAAGTGCTATGAACATTGTTTGGATTCCACCTGATAGAAATAAAAGGTGTATAATCAGGAAGAGACAAATGGCCTTGATTGACTAAGTGACTGACTGATTGATTGGAAGATAGTGATAGATTTATCAGACAAAATCCCAGCACTTGATAGCTGTAAAGTTCCAGGGGTAGGCAACCTTTCTCCTTTAAGGGCTGAGTGACTTCAGCTCCCAGAAGCCTCAGCCATGTTGGCCAATAGCTCCTGGAATTCTGGGAGCTGAAGTCCCTCAGCTCTTAAAGAGGAAAAGTGGCCTGCCCCGGCTGTAAACCTTTAAACTCATGCAGCTCATACCCACTGATGAGAACAGATGTACAAAAGAAATCAATGTCCATTGTACAGCTGCAACAAGGTTATTGCAAGGGAGGATCACTTCACTGTGGCCTTGGAGAGACATTTAATAAATATACTTAGTTCCAGCCTCAATATATTTTTCCTACTAGTACCAGAAGAAATTCAAAGCTTCAAAAGAGTTTTCTGATACTGTGTGGTATTCTCATGTCAGACACTAGATGGCTCTCTTTGTGTGTTTTTACATACAGCTTCATCCAAATTCTAGTGAGAGAGAAGCAATGCTGTGCAAGCCACTAATATATCCTTCTGTGTATGTGTTGATACAGCAGATATATCATGCCAGTATTGGAAACTAAAACAGCCATTTCTTTTCTCTATGTGTCTTGTCTCTCCCCACTCTCTGCTTAGAATGTGTTTTATGCTTTTGAGAAAATCTGACTTAGAAGCAAGAAAATAAATAAACCAACATTTACAATCTGAACTCTCATTCTAGAGTAGGAGAGGGCAACCTGCAACCATCAACCTCATTTCAAAAGCCTACTGTGAGCAAAAGCAATGTTCTCCAGCTTTCTGCCATTCAGGGAAGAAGAAAAACAGAGAAGGGGGCGGCAGTGGTGGGGAAAAAAACTCCCTATCAGATTTGGCCTTGCCTACCAATGGATTGCTCCCAAAAGAATGCAACACTCAATAGGGAAGATTCCCTGCTCCTGTCCTAGGTGGACAAATATATTGACCAGGAACTGACAGGAGATGAAATGCAAGCTTCCCCCAGCCTGTTGCCCTCTAACTTTTGGACTGCAATTACCATCACCCCAGTCACTGGACATTTGGATGGGAAGAACACTGTAATTTTCCTATGTCATTTACCATGCAATCCTATGCAAATAAGCCCCACAGAGTTCAAAAGTGCTTCCTTCCTGAGAACTGGGCTTAACCTTGCAGCCATAGCTATGTACCATTGCCAGGCATGCTGGGGACAAGCCAAGTGAGATTAAGTATGTTTAAGGCCTACTATTTCAGTAGGAGAGTTAAGATTGTTTAGCTATACTCTACTCAGAACAAGGGGATTCCAAATTGTTTAACTTTCACTTTATTATGCCTCTTTTTTAGAAATCATTTATAGCTTTTTTAATTAAAAAAAAGGAGCATGGCTGTGATAAACTTACATC